ATTTGCATACATGATTTATATTAATAATATTATTTTATTTTAATTAGACATATTATTTTAGAAATATTATATCTAGTCAATTTTATTATTTTATAGTCGATTTTACTATTATTATTTGGGTATATTAGATTACATTCTTTTATCTGAATTCAACTATAATATTTTTTATCTAAATATATTAAATTTTGATTAATTCTATTATTTACTTTTAGGTTATTTGCTGTCTCAGATGTCAATATATTTTAGAAAAGTTATTTATAACTTAAGATATATTATGCCTATAATGAAATATAAAATAATTTTGATTTCAAATTACATCAATCGATATAAAGATAATCTTTGAAGTCTCATGCATATATATAAATTTCAAAAAATAAATCAAATTAAAATAATATTATTTATCATTTAAAAGTGCACGTATTTTCATAATATTTATCAAGTTATATGTTTCTTTAAAATATAGTAGAAAATAAAGCAATAATCAGTAGGAAGTTACATACTTAAGTAACTCATATATTTTGAAGATTCATGAACACATATCAATATTTAGAATAACTAAAATATTTTATAAATTCTAAATAATTTTATATCTTAGATTTATTGATAAACTGAAATTATTTTAAATAATCTTAAAAATGAGAATTCGGATTTGTTTTGGTATTTTTATTATGGTTATATTAAGTTACACAAACATAAGATTTAAGAAAAAACTTAAAATTAAGAAACATATAATTTAAATAATGATAGAATACAACATATCTATGTCATTAAAGTATATAGTGGTATGATATTTTAAAATATTTTGTAATTATTTGATTAAAAGATGTTTATTGTTAAAAAATATTTTAGTTTCTCTTAAAAATAAGCAGTAAAAATTGTGGTTGTATTTGAGAAATCATATTATATAAGTACAATTTAATTTATAGATATTTTTTATTTCTGCTTTAGTTGAAAGATACTATAGTCAACTAAATATATGAAAATAAATAAAATATTCAATAATTTTAATTAAAAATTATCTTAGTTAATAAAAACATATACTTGTTTATGTTACTTAAAATTATGTTTAAAAGTAATTTTGTTTTTCAAATATCAAAATTATATGTGTGAATTTTTTGTTATGAAATCACATTATTTAAAAATATATATTTTCATATTAGAAAATACCGATATAAAGAAAGTATTTTATTAATTAAAAAGTACATTTTATGTTATTTAAAATATTTTTAATGGATGTTACTATTTTGTTAATTTTCCCTTTTAATGAAATCATATTATATAAACATATATTTTCGTCTTTAATTTTTCCTTTTAAATTTTATAGATGTTTTTTCTATTATAAATTTTAGTTGGAAATTTTTTAAAAGGAAACTAAATACAAAATTAATAATACTATTTTACTATTTTGATAGTATATTACTATTTTGTGAACTTTCCTTTTTAATGAAATCATATTATATAAACATATATTTTCGTTTTTAAATTTAATATTTTTTTTCTTCTTTATTATAAAAGTTATTTGGAATGTTTTAAAAAGGAAACTAAACATAAAATTAATAATATTATTTAAATATATTCATCAAGGGTATCATAGTAATCAACCAGTGTAAGAGTCAACGTTAGCGCGCCACATAGGAAACTGACTTCTCAAATAATATTATAGAGATATTAGATTTTGTTTACTGATTAATAATTTTCAATAAATAATAACCAGAAGGATGATATTCTATTATGGAGACAAGATGAGAATTCATGCTCATATGCATGGAGAGCAACCAAGAAAGAAAGTGGATGCACTCGATGTAACAAAAAAATTGATTGAAAAAAATTCAAAACTATACCTTATTCATTTGGATGTTTTAATCAGTGAATACTAGTCTCAAGTGAATTGTGAGTGGCCCATGTTTAATATAAATAACGCAAAAATTATTCTATTTTTACATAGGTTTTTGCACCCTAACAATATTAAAATGTTGGACGTGACTGCAAGATTCCAGTTAAGAGTAAAATTTGTCAACTAAACAAACAATGACTCTTTTAATTTTGTATTAGACATCAACGATTAACCAATATACAGTAGAACCTCTATATATTAATTATATTGATTTTTTCTAATTAACAGATATATTAATTTACAAAAATTACTTATTTATATTTTCATTTAAAACATATTTATTCTAAAATAAGAAAAATATTTGATTTCCAGTTAATGTGGTTTTAGATATAATTTACTAAATCTCATCAAAATATATTAAATATTCAGAAAATATGAAGATAATGTCATTGTGAATATAATACAAACAAATATAAAACAAACAATATAATGATAAGTTGTTATTTATATATATATATATATATGTATACATATCAATTATTAATTTATAATTTTAATAAAACCATATATTTAAATAGAATTTTTGAAAAATATTATTTTATAGATTTGTATCAAATTTTGAATCGGTCCAAATTGAAACCAGTAAAAATTTATAGAAATTATTAAGTTATCGAGTATTAATTTGTAAATAGTTTAATGGAAAGTTGGTTATCAATCTTAAGAGAAAGAGATTATAGGCTTTTAATCTTAATTTCCCTTTATGATCTCAGTGAGTCAGTGGTAAGCATGAGAAGAATTTTTTTTCTTTTTTTTTTAGCATGAGAAGAGTTGGTAGAAATACAAGTAGAAAAGGAATAAAGATGATATAGAAATACTTTGAATACACTGATGAATCTATACTATTAAAGCTGAAGTACAAAAATTAAGTGTTTGGAAACATGAATAGTAAGTATTTAAAATTAAGATGATTGGAAACAAGGATAGCCTACAAATCTAATGGGCTTACTTATTAAACTAAAAATTACTACGGCCCAAAGTACCATTGTTATTGTTTTTGGGTTTTCTATCCTTGATATTATTTTATTTCTGAAAATTATGTATATATATATGTACTCGTGTTTTAAATGTATGTGGAATAAATCAAGAATAATATATATTTTATTTATATAATTTATATTGACTATTGTTAAAAGTTTTTAACAGTAATATACTAGCATTCCAATTCTTCATTAAAAATGAACTTAAAAATTTGACTAAATTGTTTAGTGTATATAATTTTTCACTAAATTTAGTAAAAAAAACTTTATAAAATATTACTAAAATATTTACGGGTCACAACATTTTACCGACGTCCTGTTACACAATTCAGTGATGAAATACAATGTTTAAACAGTATACTATTACTTAGTAAAATTAGAACCGTAAGATTGTAATTTTTAAAATATTTATATATACCTTAAAAACAAAGACCCGCCCAGTCGGACGGGTTATGATCTAGTCTAAACTATTAAAAGGGAAGTACATTTTGTACTTAACCCTGATTTTTCCACAAAAATTACCAAAGAATGCCATTCTCATTAAATACAGAATTTTGATTTTAAATTAAACTAAGACACACGTTTACCTTATTAATAAACCATGAAATGACAAAACCATTACTAAACCATTTGATTCGTGTATACCTACATTTCGTTCTATATAATTAATTAAATACAACGTTTCAGTCTTATTACTAAACCATATATACAATTACAAACCATTACTAAACCAAAACATTACAAAACCATCTAAATAGAATACTTGCTTTCCTACATATCGTTGTATAACATTGATAAGACATTATATTAAATTGTGATACTAACTTCGTTTCTCTTTCGTCTATATCGAATTCCATTGTTATAGTACCTCTGGTTTTCTTGGTCTAGAGAATCAAAACCAGCATATTATTTTGTTCAAAATCAAAACTAATCATTTATTAATTTCCTGAAATAAATTACATTCCAAAATATTTTCCTATATTTTAGCGTAACAATTATGATATCAATGAACTAGCACAAGATTCTTTTTTTTTTTCTACATACAGTAGAACCTCTATAAATTAATATGTTGGGACTTTGAAATTTTATTATTTTATGGAGATATTAATTTAGAGAATTTTTCTTATTTAGATTTCTTATTTTCAGAAATATTTATTCTAAGATAAGAAAAATATTTGATTTTAGTGCATAGATATTAATTACTATTTTCTTTAAATTTGAAACTTATATTAATTTTATTCTATTATTTGGTATAGATAATTTATATCAAATGTGTGTTTTAGATATTATATTACTAAATCTCATCAAAATTATGTTAAGTGTTAAGAAAATATAAAGATAATTCTATTGTAAATAGAAAACAAACAATATAATGAAAGTTCTTACTTGTATAAAATATGTATACACATAAATTATTAATTTATAGTTTTAGTGATACCATATATTTACATAGAGTTTTCTAAGAAAATATTATCTTATTATTTTATCGATTTGTATCAAATTTTGAACTGGCCCAAATTGGAATCGGTAAAATTTATTGCTTTATAGAAATTATTAATTTATCAAACGTTAATTTTTTCGTGTGTTGACCCAAAAAAATATCCGTGTGATTACGTTCACTTTCTTACAAACAAATCAATTTGGGAATAAAATCGAATAGTATATTCGTTATATATTGCTAAATAATCACAACTAACAAAATCATTAATAATTAGATGACATTTATACTTAATTGATATTCTTTCCTACATAGCTATATATGCCTCTTCCCCACTTTTTATTAATAACTGTGTTACTTTTCCATTATTTTTATTGTTTCTTTCTAAATAATTTATTTTTAATATCTATAAAATAGAATTTTAATTAATAAATTTAATAGAAAATTAAAATTATAATTTAATAAAACACAACAAAATAATCTGATAAAAAGTACAATAATAAATAATACATTCTCACAATTATAAAAAGAAGGCTAAATAAAGTGAACAAGATACACCGATATCAAAACTCAATAACCTTTAAACCATAAACATAAACATAAACATAAATGATTTTTATAACTAACAGAAACATATAATTATGTAGAATATACATCCGCGCGGACGCGCGGGTCAAAAACTAGTATAGTAGTAAAATTGATTATGAGGTCTCGGTGATTCTTCTATCGAAAGCTTTTGTTGGAATCAATCAATATACAATAATTGATCGACCATATTCATTACTCGTTCCATCTGATTTCAAACTTTAGGACGAGAGAGTAGAAAGTCTAAGGTTGAAATAAGTTCATACACTTGATTCATCATTCAAAAGCTAAAATACATAACATCCAACAAAACCCAACCCATGAAGGGGCCGGGCCTTACATGAAACTTGGGGCAACCGGACCCTTTGAGATGCCAAGACGAACTTCCATCCCGTGGTGGAAGTCTACCGGCTTGAATGTCTCCGAGTCACGAGGATCTGCAAGAGATATACAAATACAAGTTTCAGATAACTTGACATCGAATTTCAAAACCAATAACTTGTTCAGACCCCTTTATTACTTAATCAGGCCAATAACATCTACCGAAAACAGTGAATAACTTTATGAAAAAATAGTGCATACTGAGAATGCATCAAACAGGTGTCCACTGATCTAGAGAAGTGAATTTTAGCAATAAGAAACATCCAACGTAATAGGAGTAAAGGGAAATTACCATTCAAGTAATCCTCAAAACCAATGTCATCAATGGCTCCTGTGTAGGCTTCTAACCCGAGCATTGAAGATGGAATTGGTCCAGCAGGTCTCTGAAACCTAAACATCCCAAGAGAGAGAGTCAAGGATATAATAAGAACATAACCGCCAAATATAATTCTTTCACACCACCAGATCATGCAGCAAAAGAGTTAAAGACCCTATGCTCCCCAATACAGACCATATACAGTCTCAAGTTTTTGCCGAGCACACACGGGGCAAGACACTTAAATACTACTCCCTTCGTTTCACTTTATTTGTCATTCTAGGTTTTTACACACAGATTAATGAAACATTTAATTTTGCATATTTTCAAGATAAAAACACAATTACATATACACCTAACCATTTTTCAACCAATAGAAAAATAGAATATCATATAAAGCTAATAAATTTTGCATCGAAACTCTATTACGACACTTATTTTGAAACAAATTTTTTTCTCTAGAATGACAACTAATTCGGAACGGAGAGAGTAATAAGCACATAGATACCAGTAATGCACACAATTATCATAATGCCATTTCCAAGGAAAACATGAATAAATGGGGGAACTCGTAAGTGTGTGCATAATAACATTCTGAACCAAAAACTAGCTTCCCAATGCATATAGATTCACACACATAACAGAATCTTCAAGTACAAACTCTTAGTAATCTACTCTAGCCATAGAGATGGTATTGACCTAGCAGTGTTCCAACACAAAGTAAGTATTTTACCGAGAGAGAATTTGCCTGTCCATATCCATCTTCAAAGGAAGTGCCGACCCGTAGGTATGCCCAATGATCCTCCTCTTCATCTCCTCTTCCGATCTCTTTCCCTGAAACCGAAAAAAAACGCTAAATAATGATCCAAAAACCCTAATTTTGCAGCCATTGAGAAATCTAATAAGATTGAAAACCCTAATTAGTGTTCTCGAATCAAACATGATAAGAAGTAAGCTAATCAAACAATCTCTAAGTTCCTTTCTTAGCTAATTTCCCGAGACACAAAAGCAGATTCAATCGGTGAAATCGAAACGGAAAATCGATTTAGACGATTACAGATTGGTAAGAGGATTCGAGAGGGTGAGATCCGACGATGTCGCTCTTAACGCCGTTGAGACCGAATCGAAGAGCGTCTCTCTTGACACCACCGATCTCATGAGCTATCTTCTTCGGAGACTCCATTACTCTTTTTTTCTCGTTCTTCGTCTAACTTCCTCTGCGGGCAAGCAAAGATGCTAGAGACAGTGTCTTATAATGGCTTTTCTCTCACTAACAAGGAAGATGGACTCTAGGCCCAATAAGTTTGTATTTTGGCCCATTTATTTGGGCTTAAAATGACTGTCTCGTTTTTCATTGAGTAAGCCCATTATGATGTAGACATGTATTGTTCTTTTTTTTTGGTTCTTTACACACATACAAAGAGAGAAATAATTCTAGTTCAATTAATTTCTCAGTTTTCACGTTTCATAAAGAAACAAATTAGTCTCTTTTTGGTATGCATTTCAGATTTTTATGAAATATTTTGAACATTACCCATCTCTAAAAAAATGAATTTTAGTTTGATGTAAATTTTCAACTTCAGTTTTAATCGATATAAAAATTAAATCAGTAAATTTGGTTAACCTAAATATTGGACGCAGCGGAGAGGTTCAGTCAAGGTCAGAGTAATAAAAAAATAATTAAAAATAGTACCACAAAGGCATGTAGAAAAGATATTGTGTGAATATAAAAATCAGCTATTTGTGGGTGTTTATTTCATAGGATGATCTGACAAATGTAATTTTATATAATAAATTTACTTTCACTTCTCAACAAAATCTTCTGAAATAATCAGTTTCCAGACATTTGTTAATTAAAATATTATAGACTATTCATTGGTAACTTAACTTAATCCAGCTAGCCAAGTCTAGATAAATTGCCAGTAGTAGTACACTTCTTACTTGCGTTGAAGATGTGTGGGGAAAAAAAGAAGCAAGAATATCGTTTCTGATTTAACAATACTAGTATTTATTGCCACAAATACTAGCTTATAAATTGATCAGCTATCTTGATTTATATTACATGGTCAGATTGGACAGAGAAAAAATGCATGGTCAGAATGTATTATAGAGGTAAATCGTTTGCAATTTCCCGACTTGCTGCTAAAATACATTAAAAACTGAAATGAATATCTGGAAGTGGTGAGAATTTACAAGATTTTCAATCAATAAGCGACTTATAAAATATAGATCGCTGAAAAAAAAAGTGACTTAAACAGATCACTTCAGATCATTGAGGTTTTCCTTTGGTAAGTAACTACTAAAATCATTAAAAACGCGTGGACATCATTAAGTCAAATGAGTTTAACCTAGCAGTTTATAAAAGTAAACAATCCTCGTTTTCAAACCTTTTTTTTTACAAGTTTTAAAAGGGGTGCAACTTATAATATATAACTAGATATAATTGGGGTTTGTCTTAATGTAAAGAATATTTTGATATAAAATCAGTTCACCAAAATTTGTGCTGATGATTATTTTTCATTAGTTTTTAGTTTCAGTTTTTAGTTTTAGATTTTGGTTTTTGGTTTTTATTTTTTAAGTTTCTACTTTCCATTTTCAGTTTTTGTTTTGGGTTTTTAATTTTTAAACCCGCTGAGTTAGTTTAAACTAATATTACCAACAAACAAATCTCAAATAATCGAACATCTAATTTAAAACTAAAAAGATGATAACAAATTTTTTTTAAAAAAAATTGAAATAGTTTTTTTTTGTAAATAAACAAAGCAAAAAAATATAACATGTGTTTTCAGCTTTTGGTTTTGAATTTTAGTTTTTAGATTTGGTTTTTGGTTTTGCTTTACATTTTTTTAATCAATAAATTATTTAAGAAAAATAAAACAATAAATTATTTAAAAGTTACCATTGAAATTTATCAAAACAAAGTGAGTTTTATTTAAAATAAAAAATATATTAATATGTTTTAAAGTACATGGTTTAAATAAATGATTAATAATAGATAATTTTGTTTTGTTAAAAATATTAAATACCTTTTGGGCCTGAAAATAATAATTGTTTTTTTGATCTTTTAAGTTGAAAAGTTTATTCAATGTTTTGGAGTTTTTTTCTTAAAAATAAGCCTAAGACTATATTCCATAAATAACCACTGGTTTATTTTAAGTATAATTAGTAAATTTCCATATTCCATATTTTGATGATATATATTATTTTAGAACTTTCCATATTTGTAGGAGAAAATATGTGTTTTCGGTATACACATAGATACCTGCCGTATTTTGAAGGTAGTTTAAATTAAGGTCGTCTCTTTACATTAATTGTGTTGGTTTAATTTAAATAATACGGTTCAATCGATTATATGACTTATATTATTTGTAACATTCTAGAAAGAGTCCAAATTTAAATGACAACTTGTATCAGTAGATAAAAAGAATGACTATATTTTGATAGAGTAGATTTCCTTATTTTATTTCCTTATTTTTGTCAAAATGAGAATTCATTTCATTTGAAATGGCTTGGATATATACACAAGTAAACTTGGATCTAATACTGAAGTCAAGCAAATTACTACCCAAGAGACCCCTTTTTGTGCACTCTTTTTTTGTGCACACCCAAGAGACCCCAGAAAGATTTAATAAAATAGTCCCTTTTATGCAAGATTAGGTGTAGCCTAAAACAACTAAGAAAGACTAAAGCCAAGCTTTGACATCAGGAGGAGCTATTATCCCCTGTTAAACCAAAAAATAAATCATTCTTAGACTAGCAAAAGAGTTTATAAATTGGTCATGGTAGTGGTCGGAAACGGTAGCAAAACAATCCTTTTCTGAGCAAGAGAATATAATAACAAAAACAAAACTAATATATAACAACAAAACTAAGATCTATCCTCCACATATTCGGATGGCCAAATCTTAACCAAAGGCACGCTTCCTCAGTTCACCAACATTAGTGCGCAGTCAAACATTATATATGTGGGTGTTATTATATACTTGTATAAGTGATCGCCAATTCATCATCATATATGTTTGCTCTATGGGTTCTATAAGAAATTAGGGTTTGAGGAAACGAACCCAATATATAGCTTTGTGTGAAACTCTTAGCTGTAAATTGACTAGTCTTAAAGGCTATTGTGTGTAGTACCTAGCCAAATTATGAATCTTGGACTGGACTGGATTTCGCCAAATATTTAAATAATTTTTGATTCATCACCAAAATACTTTATAGGTTACAATATACCACTTGAAATAGATAAAAAAATTTAAGGTATACAAACTGAATCTTAATAAGCTATATTGATCAATGACACAGATGATCAGATACCATGCATGTATAGAAAACACACAAATAACCAGCGACTTAACATACATTCAAGATGGCTAAAGGATTATATATTTTGCCTTACATGTTTGGATTTGTTGCATGCTGCTCCGGTATCAGGATTCATGGGAACCCTGCCACATAAAAAACAATAAGAGAAAGAAACATATCATGTAATGGAAAGACATGAAAATCATAATTTAGGCTAGGTGTAAGAGTCTTGGATACAAACTTTACCCCTGTGGAAGCTATTGTTGGTGACTGCACAAAAGGGTTGATCCATAAAAGGGTTTTGATCATAAACATAATCCAAGTTTTGAGGGTGAATGGTATTGTAGTTGCTGCTAGAACCTTGATTCTTCAACATAAATGTCCCATAATGCTGATTGTACCTTTGATCCATATCCGTGGGAAGATTGACCTTCCTCTTGGTTAAGATACATTCTTCATTATCAAAATCTTGGATTGCTTCTTTGTAGAAAGAGTTTGTGATGTCTTCTCCTTCATTGAAGATTATAGGTCTCTTAAATGGGTCCATGACTTCAGTTTGTGTGATGTCAGAGACGGTTTCTGTATGATCATAGGTCTTCTCTCTTGTTATTATCTCCTTTGACTTTCCTTTAGCTTTTGCCCTTGATTCCTTTGAAGATATGTTGCTCTTCTCTTTATTCTTTACCTTATATACCACTTCTTGGCAAGACTCAGGGCTCGAACTATACACAAAGCTCTTGTCTCCATCATCTTCTTCTTCCTCATCAACATCACCTCCATTGAGCTTTTTTTCTTGGACAAGCTCTTTGATGGCTCTTCTTGATTTCTTGAGAAGCCAGTCCAGTGTCTCACTGGCTTTATCAAACCCCAACATATCCTGGAGATCGAAGAATTGGCGAGCAACTCCAATAGAAAGCCTCACCCTCCTGTCTCTAAAACCTTGTGCCGTGTGAATCTTGCTGTGTCTATCTTTCTTCACCGCCTTCTTGATTTCTCTAGACACCTCAGGGATCTCGAGACCTTGCTGATTTACAGCACTTTTTGACATGTAATAGGTCAGAGATTCAGGCACGGCTGATACCATTTGGGCCGGTGATGCGGTTGATTGATGATTGTAGGGATTACGGATGATGTCTTGATGGTGGCCCGGGAGTGAAGAAAGGTAAAGAGAGAGTGGGTAAACTCCACTGTTACCATTATTGTAATCATTGTTGGAAGAAGACATCATTGAGCTTCCAAATCTAAAATCAATATTCAAGAATCAAGAATTTGTGTTTTATTTTAGAAACAAAAAAAACAGCTTTCACATAGTCAAAAGATAGAAGCAGCTAAAAAGAAGAAACCCAGAGAGAGTAAGCGTTCAATACTGATCTATGACACAAAGCCAAAAACTGATATTAATTACATGAGAGATGTGTAACAAGAAAATGGTTAACTGTAGAGTGATGAAGACATGATTGTGTTTCTGTTTACTGTAGATTTGCGTGCAAAAGATGATTTTTGGTATGATTTAGAAAAATATGGCTTCTTCCTCTCATTCAATTTATACAGGTAAATTTTTTTAGGGTTTTCCTTTTAGGGTTTTTAATTCCAGATCCTATACGAAGTATCTTGAAAGTTGAAACTCAGCAACTTTAGTATCATCTTTCTTTTTTTTTAACAACACTTTACTATCATCTTAGAAATTACTTTTACTACGTATACGTATGCAAGTTGGTACCTTTGTATCTAATCTTGGCAATGACAATATCAACTGGTCCAGAAATGTAACAAAAGAAAACTGTGAAATGGATTTTGATGATAAAGACTAGGCTTTAAAAGTCAGCATTTAAAGATGTTCTTGAATGTACAGTATTTTTCTTGTCAGGATCTCGAATAAGATCTTTTCATTCTATTTTTTTTTAATCCAGCGAACCTTTAGTTTGATTTATAAATAGTTACTACTTTGACATGAAAATGACAATTCAACTCTTTTATTTGGGGTGAAATTTTGGTTCCAAAGTAAATTGTAGTGTGTGTATATATATATATATAACATAAACATTAACAAACAAACAAAAAAAAACATAAACATTAACACTTTTTAGGGTTATGTCAAAAGAAAGGAAGTGGGTTCGAAATGTGACCCGAGCTGGTTCCCCCGTACGATTACATAAAGATTGTGAAAGCATTTGCCGTTTTCAAATTTTCATTTTGACGTCCCTAGCCTTTAGCCAAGGGTTGTTTTCTTATTTCAGTGAAAACAACACAGCTATATGTTTATTTGTAAACACACAAATTATAATTTATAAGAAAATTATATCATTTTAAAAAGTAATTAGAACGTTAAGTTAAGATTTTCCTAAAAACTAATTATAATTTAAGTTAAATATTTAAAAAGTTTGAGGAAATATTATTATAATTTTTTGGTTTTAAATTTAGGTTTGAGGAAGAGTTAAAGTTTAGGTTTTTCCTTTTTAAATTTAGGGTTTAGTTTACCGAATAGCATTTAAGATTTAGTTTTGGGTTTAGCTTTTAGTTTATAACTTTTGTATTTTGGGTTTTAGTTTAATTTAGTGTACCTATTTATGGTATAATTTTGATATTTGTTAACTATTTCTATCCTAATTTTGACTGCTTATAGTTGGTGTTTTGGTTGCTATAAATGTTATTGAAAGTTGTTTTCAAATACTTGTCAATAATTACGAACGATGAGAGAAATTAGTTCATGCAAATTTTGATGTATTTTGTTGAATATTGTAATGATATTTAACTTGTTGAAATGAAATATTTCAAAAGAAAAAAACTTTAAACCAAAAGGCTTATTTCGCCACACCTTATGGAACGCACTTTACAGTATCACTAATCCCACTTTATTTCTTACAAAAATCAAGTCATGCATTTTTTGTTTGTTTATTATCTTTATTTTTCACTAAAAAATGGAGCAGAGTTCAAATAAAACTCAACTTTATTATGGATTTCTTCGATTTTGAAAAAATAGAGTTTTATGGTACAGAGACTGACTCTTAGAGGACTATATTATTCTTACACTTGGTACCATAATTGAAGAGTTTACTCACTTGAATCCAATGATTTAACATGTCAATTACTCTCAACTCAATCCACAAACTGAAAACCAAATATTCATATGCTTTGGAAAGGTTTTCTCTCTATGATTCAAAAGGAACAAACAACGCTGTTGTGTTTACCAAGGGTGGGTAAGCTTAGATTATAAGAAACTACCGAACGAATATGTATTATCTTATGGAAACACTTTCAACTCTCTTAACAAAAGATTAGTGTGTCTTAAAACAAAATAAGAAAACTACGATAAGATATTATAACTGATGTTGATAATATTTATGAAACAGCCAAGACTGAGGTTTCCAAATTATAATAAGAGTTTGTGGCATAAAACAAGCATATCATCATACAATAGAATTAAGCCGGACTGAAGGAAAGAAGCCAAGATGAAAAAAGAAAGAAAGGGAAGAAATGAGTTAAATGACTTCTGAAAATTACATGATGGCCTTCCTCACTCTTCAATTCGTTTTCACATTTGCATATTTTTGTGATCGATTTAGTTTCATCCTACAAAATAAAAGCAAAGAATTATATTGTTTCATGCCAAGAATTTGATTAATTTTGACCTTGTAAATGCATATATATATATATGTATATGAGAATTAGCTCACCTTTGGCAGAGACATACTTCTCAATCTCTTGTTTCTGCTCAGGCTTAAAAGCTAACCACTTTTCATGTGGAGATAAATCACCATATGTACCTAGATCTGTGGATGAATAAAACAATGAGATCTGAAACACTCTCCCATAACAAAACATAAAACAAAGAGTTCAGTAAATATCACACCTTGAAGCAAAAACTTTGGTTCTTCTTCAAAGCACTTTAGTTTCCAGAGAACAAAACCATCATCATTGTATAGGATCGGGTCAGTTCCAGCAGCAGCACATCTTTGCCTCTCTGCAACAAGTTTCATCAGGTTAAGCATGAAACTCAATATTTGTAAGACCATTAATTAAAAAAAAAGGCACTTAGATTTACTTCCAGATATCATGCCCTTTGCCTCCAGCATTTTTTCATGAGCTTCTTTAACTTCAGCTTTTGTTTGAGACACAATTGCATGATGCTCTTCAATGGTTAATGGTACTCCGTTTTTTTCCATATGGGCTTTGACTAGATCACCTTGCATCTTCTGCTTCAGCTGTTTCTCCTATGATAATAAAAAACCAAAATTTTAGCACAAAAGTTTTGATAATTTTAATCTCATCTTGCAGATTATAGAAATACCTTTTCCTTTGCAGCTGCAGCCTTTCCTTTTGCCTCTTTTCTCTCTGCTTCGAACTCCACATTTTTGGTATCAATGAAGTTTCTCAATGCCCTAAGAATGTTTTCACAAAAGTTTGTAAAGTCATAACGAAGCAAAAATTAAGTGAATAAAAGAACATACCCTGTGCTAAGTGATTCATCACATAAGAAGTTGAGAAGCTTGAGCTTTGTTGATGCATCCATCTTCTTATACTCAGAGACACCTGAAGTGAAAGTTTCAGGTGGGAACACATCACTCAAAACTCCTGATTGCAATAGGCACTCTCCAAGAGAACTGAACCAAGTGCTGTCAGTTGCACTTAGAGACAAAGACCTGTAACAATCATTCAAATGCATCAGAAATAAAAACATATAAATATTTAATTTCAGGGAAGAAGTAAGAAAAAAAATACTCATACACATCTCTATCATGTGATATTAGTTCCAACAACTGGATCATCATAGGGATAACAGAGCAGTATTGTTGCCTCCTTGTGCTACGCCCACATGAGAATAACTCAGTAACAATAGATTCAGCTTGCCCTTCTTTCAAATCAAGAGCCTATAAGAAAAGTCCAAAATGGAACATTAAGAGTAAAACAACACAAGGAATGATTTACAGATGATAAGTTTGGTTACCAATTACCTCTCCAAAGGCTGAACAAAATTCAAGAAACTGCAATACATTTCCTGTTTCTTCACTCGGTACATCAATCCCTGCGACATTAGTCAAGCTTATACCATCAGGAAGTTTAACCTCAATCTCAATCTTAATCTCCTCTTTCACTTCATTGGTGGCTTTCGCCTTCTTGATCTTGCCAGCAGCTTTGTTGTTCTCCTTTGCAACATCTGATTCATAACATTAAAACGATTAGTCCTAGTGTCACCTTCCTAAGACAACTTCAAAGCAAAACAGTTAACATTTGTACCTTCAATGGAATCCTCCTCCTGCAGAAACAATATAATCATATAAGCATCATATAAAAATATAAAAAAAAAAATTTTAATAAGATAGAGAAATGAATACCAGGTTTACCTTTGTTAAACCGGTTTTGTTCTTAATCAAGGCTTTCTTCTTCTTACCCGCTGCTTTGTTGTCCTCATTGGCAACATCTGATTCATAAACATTTATAAAAGTTAGTCTTAATCTCTCCTTTACAATACAACTAAAAAGCAAATAGAGTAACCTTCAGTGGAAACATCCTCCTGCAGAAAAAAATATTACCAAAAAAGCATAATTAACACACAAACATCTTGAAAGAGTGTTTCACAAAAGTAAAAGATAGAGAAATGAAAATACCAGTTTTGCCCTTTTGGGATAAGCAAAGGTATTAACACCCTCAACTTTTAAAAGCTCAGAGACTGATGACAACCCACTTGCTTTAGCTTTGGGTGCCAAAATCCCTGTAGGTTCAAGTCCTTGTTCCTTCCTGTAATAAAACCCTCAACACAATTAATCTCAACTCCAAAAGCAATCAAGATGTGTTAAAAAAAAAGAGAAGAAAATTACCTGCAGAAACTGCAGTTGCAGAGGCCTCTGCACCTAACACAATGCCAATCATCTAATGCAGCTACCTCTTCTGCCCTCTCACCATATCTAATTATACATAAAACTGATCAGAACACACATAACCGTGAGAAACAAAAAAAAAGGAAATTAAAAAGCAAACCTGTTTAATAAACACTTATGACAAAAATGAAGTTTGCATTGTTTGTTATTCTTCATGGCCTTACATGAGGCAACAAAGTCCATTGTCTTCTGTCGACACTTAAGAAAGAAAACAATCGATTTAGCTTGAAACAAAACGATTAGGACATAACCAGAGAGAGAGAGAGAGAGAGAGAGTGTAAGAGATGTTTTCTTCACACCTGGTGACAACATTTGCCGTTGCTGGAATCGTAAATCCTCCCTCCGATAACTCTAACGCCTGGGTTCGTTTTGCGTTTCGATGGTTTCGCCGCGTCCAAAGCCATAGCAAACGGAGAAGGAGAAATATTTAGAAAGGTTGGAACTTTTTAACTGGGTTTTGAGAGATTATCAAGAAACTCAGTCACTGGAGCCAAGAAGAGAAGAATCAGAAGCTATATAGGAGAGAGGAGGACGAGGTTTTGGAGAGGGAAAGTGAATTTCGAAAAAGGGGTTTTGCCGCTTGTACTTTCATTTGCAGGTGCCCTTTGGGTTGAAAAGTATATTTTTTTTTTTATAACTTCCATATTATATTAGATAATAGAGTTTACATAGTCATGATGCAAAAGATCAGAAATTGAGTTTGGTACGTAAAAATGAAATACAAAACATTGATTATCAATCAATGGGTGTTTTGCCAAATCATCTGCAGCTTTATTTCCTTCTCTTGAGATCCAGTCGAACTTGATGTCTTCAAATTGTTGACTCCACCAAATGATATCCCGTATCCAGTTATAACCATGGAAATGTATTGACTTGTTGTTTAAAATATCAATCAACTTCCAACAGTCACTCTCGAAAATAACCTTCTTGTACCCTTTACTCCAACAGTGTTGCATACT